TAAATAGGGACAAGTATCGAAATAGGCGCTTAGCAATAAACAATGTAGACTTTTCAATCACTCAACTAATGAATCAAAGGACAGAAAATGCACATTGTGGGATCATTTAGAAATAAAACACACGCTTGCACAGACATATACACACAGACTCGCCCATACACACATACACACTCAACTCCCATACCCTCATATATTCTCACATACAACACTTACTGGCAGAGGATGGTAATGTAGTTAGTATAATGTTGGAGCTAATTTCACTGTGCTAGTAATAGTCAAAATACCTCACTAAAAGTATTATGAGTAATAACGTTTTTGAGTATTCACTCTTGCTTCTTTTAGTATCCCAGAACAGTTAAAAACAATCATACGTTAAATCAGTAGTTTATATACATGTATAGGTGTAGATGTGTGTATGCACGTGTGTGTGTGTGTGTGTGTGTGTGCATGTGTGTGTGTGCATGTGTGCGTGCGTGTGTGCGTCCGTGCGTCCGTGCGTGCGTGCGTACATATGTGTTAATTATCAAGGCTTTGCGAAGTTACCGAGCCGCGAGAAGTTTAGCGTAGAATGGGTAAGGCGAAGTCCTTGTTTTACCAACGATCGATTGGGTTCACGAGATCGATAAAAATGGCTTACAAACTGACCTCGTAGAAGATCGAGGTATAGGGACAGGTTCTACAACTAGTCCCTGGGAATGTTTGCACAAGAGGCCTCAACTTAGAGGAAAGAAATGTCACCAAATTGAGTTTCTGACATACGTTACACTTGCTCAGTTTTAGTTTTTGTGCGAAGTTTCATAGGCAATTTGAAACTAAAGTAAGTAATATAAGTGCCTATGAAGCGGTGTTACTATAGAATAACATACAAAGAAAATAAAGAGGAGGAGATTAGACCGAACATTAACTACCTTTTTGATAGGAAACAAGGTGCAAACCAAACCAGAGCACCCATCACTCACCTATATGTTTCATCCTCATTGCCTTTCTCACTCTGCACCAGGGTTTTGGCCACTTTTCTCTATCCTGGCCAAGCCTCTTGATGTTATTCCATGTCTCCCAACTTTTCTGTACATCAATTTCTGTAATCCTCTTCCAGGTTCCACGCCGTCTTCCCATTGATCTTTTACCCAGAGGATTCCAATCCAATAATTTCATAGTTATGCAGCTGCCTGACTTCCTGAGAGTATGTCCAATTCATCAATTCTACAGATTTATTCAGACAAAATGATGAAATAATGGTTGGTTGGCAGGAGCTCGGATGGGATTTGCTTCTTCTTTCCCATCAAACATCTCTCCACCTTTTCTTTGTAACCTACGCTTTAAACAAAAAGCAATACCCCCCCAACCCCCCACCTCGCGAAAAAAAGATCTAAAAACTTTAATTTTTGACACTTATATAACCTTAAAAGGAATGCCGTGTTGTGAAAAATAATAGGTTCATGTTTCTCTCAAAACAGTTTCAGAAAAATGCCGCCCAAGAAAACCACCACCCCGGCCGCCAAAGCGCCTGCCAAAACAGCAGCGAAGCCAGCTGCAAAACCAGCTGCAAAACCAGCCGCTAAACCAGGTGTTAAAGCTGGTGGAGCAAAACCTGCCGCAGCAAAACCAGCTGAAAAACCCGCTGCAGGTACGGTTATCATTCAAGGAGGCTATCAGTAGAATTTGTTCTAATGTCCTTGCTATCATTTCAGAACTTTTAAAACGCAGTTGAGCCTATCTAACTACTCTAAAATGATGGCCCTATATCGAGGAGAAAAATTGGTCATCTTAGTTAGGATTTCAGTGCTTTTGTGATGTGCAGCAATATTGCTTGGGCTATTTGTGTAGCCTGTCCTGTTGTTTTGCGTGGATTCCTAGTAATATTATAATAATAATTATCGTAAGATATCTCCTTGATCGAAAGTTTATTTTCCTGTCACCTTTCACTGGTAGCCCCCGCTCCCACCTCTCTCTCTCTCTCTCTCTCTCTCTCTCTCTCTCTCTCTCTCTCTCTCTATCTATCTATCTATCTCTTCAACAATGTTTTGTTGCCTAACACCATTTATAAAAACTCACACAAGCACAAAAACCATAAACGCAGTGTGACAAGAAAACACACCCCCTCAGCCTGCGCTTGCTCTGACAGGCAGGATCATAGCCCACCTCCTAAATGAACAAAATTTCGTTGATTGGAGAGTAAAAAACACGAAGATTTAATCGCTTACTTTACTTTGTTCTTCCGCTTGTACTGGTGGGTGCGGCGGGGAGACACAGGCGTCTGTCTGAAGCAAGGCGAGTAGCGTGTAAGAGGGACTTCCTAATTAAAGGAGATTCAATCGAATCTAACTTTATTTCTGTAATTGTTTTTGGACAGGCATCGTTTTCCCTAATGGTTGATTGGCTGATGCTCTAGTTTAGTTTACTATTAAACATCTATGGTTCGCATCTCTCCTGTTTTTTGTGTCTTTGTTACTCTCTTGTAACACCCCAATCTTCGGCTCTTATGTGACCTAATTGCGTTGCAAATGCCGTAAAACTCATACTGAAATATACTTTTCTTGCTTTCCACCCATCCAGCTCCCCCACCTCCCAAACCGGTGACGTTTGTGGAGATGGGGATCAAAGAGATCGACTCCCGAGTTGTCTTTGATAAAGAAGGCGCCGTCAAAGCATCAGGAAAGTAAGTTCTACCTAGCTAAAATAACCCCGCAGCCCTTTCCGAAAAACACCCCCAAACACCCCTCACACAAATATATATCTAAAAATGGGTGAAATCCATGCTAGAACAAACAGCAACAGCAACAGCAACAGCAACAACAACAACAGCAACAATAACAACAACAACAGCAAAAACAACAAAAAGCAACCAAACAAAACAACCCCCCCAAAAAAAAAAGAACCCCAAAAAACAACAACAAACAAACAAAAAACAAAACAACCTACAACCCACTGTCGGATTTAAAAATTTTTCAAAATGATATTATTACTTAGGTGGGCCTGCATTGTTGACGAGAACAGCCTGGCTCCCAGGTTCTTACGTCATCGTGACGTCAACATGCTGACAGTGCCAGACCCAAATGAGATGCAACCAGAGACCATTCGGAGAGCTCTGCTTGGATCCATTAAGTGAGTGAGGATTGTCTTAAATCGGTATCAGTACTTTAGTATGATTGCACAGACTTCTACTTGTCACTTGTTCTGTCTTGTTCATGTGTGTCTGTGTGCCTGTATATCTGTGTGTCTGTGTTTCTTCTTTTTCTCGTTCCCCGCTGGAGTTACCTACTGTTTCTGTCTTGCTTTTTTTTCGTTTCCTAAATTTTTTAGGATCCCCTTAGAGAGTTTGATGGGGATTTCGATGATGATGATGATGATGATGATGATGATGATGATGATGATGATGATGATGTGACCCCTGCTTTTGCTCTGACAGGTTCGGCAAACCGTTCGTGCTGGACATGATGGAGACAGAAATGTGGGAGTTTGTCGTCGACCAGTTTGACAAAATTCAGCCCGGTCTGATGGACACTGTCCTATCCAAAGATATCCTTGTACCAGAGACGTGAGTACATTTACCGTTGTGATGGAATCAGATGCTCTTCAAAATACGGAAATTGAAAAATCGAAATTTTTGCGCCCTGTGAGAAATTTATATTGATTTTTGTTCTTTTGGTTTATAATATTATCCTTTATATCCATTTAAGCAAACCATTTAAAAGCACATGTTTATGAGGATTCAATTGAAAAACATGTAAACTTTCAGTTTACGTGGACATTCAAGCTAAGTTACTTAAGAAAGGGGGAGGGGGTTACATCTGAAGGCTATCTCACTTATTACTGGACCGAATTTTACAGAATTTAACGTTTTTGGGGGGTTCATATGTGATGAAATAGTTGTAGGAGAGGTTGAGGAATCTAAAAATGCCTACACCTCAAATTCAATAATTTTGAGCCGAATTTTGACTTTGGGGGTGTAGCGGGGGCCCCCCCTAACTTTGAAGGCTGTTTTCTCGCTTATTTTACTCCTGACACTAGGCGCCCCACATCTTTGCATCAACTGTAGGAATTCTGGTAAGACGTATAAAATATAGATGCGGTACCCTTGGGGAAACAGCAATCTTAATCAATATTGTACAGTCCCTAGGCACCCCTTAACCCATCTAAAAATCTTTTTGGGAAGAAGCACACGGAACTACAATAAACTAGCCGATGTTGCAATCTTGAAAGATGTACCTATCTCCAATGCTTGTGTCATGTTTTATTGCCATTCTTTGTGTGTGTAACTCGTCTTACGCTTCACCCGTCTACATTAAACACTTTACTCGTGTGCTCTATCTTCACATATCAAATCTGTCTCAACAGGGATATAAAGGGAAATGGACATGGCAATTATATTACCATAAGAATAATTCTAATAAAAATAATGATAAAATAATAATAATAATAATAATAATAATAATAATAATAATAATAATATAATAACAACAACAAAAATAATGATGACAATAATAATAATAGGAATAATAATAAGAAAAATAATGAGAAGAAGCAGAAGAAAAAGAAGAAGAAGAAATTATAATGCTAACCCTGAAAATACGTATGGTGATATAATTAGTATATGTTAACAATAATGACACTATACTTTTAGAAAAAAAAAATTGGTGTATGAATCTGGTCGACAAATCGTGTTTCTCTTCCCTCCAGATACATCAAATTGTTCAAGGAGGAAGTAGACGGCAGTGACTACCAGAACATGTATAACTACAACGTGGAAGGCTTCTCCATGCTCATCACTACATCTCTGCCTGCCCCGAACGAGTCTATGCTGCAGAAAACGTATCCTGTCAGGGTTGTCTAACGCAATTGTAGTATTATAAATTATGTTTCTGGTGGTTTGTTCCGTCCGTTTATGAAGATAGGTTTATTTCATTATTATTCATTATCACGCTTCGCATTTTTTAAACATTCATGTAGCTACATTTTAAATTGATTGATTATTGTTTTAGATATGCTATTTTGTTATGATAGTATGTACATTTTCTATCAGCTAGTATTCTTTTTGGGATGCGAAATAATTGATATTAATTTGCCGTCTCCACATTAAGTGACTATTTTAAAGTTGCCAAAGGATGCGAATGTAAAATAAGTGTGTATAAAACAGGAGACACGAGTAGAGAATGACAAAAGAAACATGAGTGGGAGAAGAAAAGAAAGAGAGGTAGATGAAAATGAAACGAGAGAGAGAGAGAGAGAGAGAGAGAGAGAGAGAGAGAGAGAGAGAGAGAGAAGGACAAAGAGAAAAAGACAAAAAGAAATGGTCTTGGTGTAGATCGTGTTGTGTTATGAACATTACTATTTAAGTTCATGTTCTGTTTAGTTTTCGGTTGTTTTTTTATATTTTAAAATTTTGTCACTTGCTTTTCTTTGTTCATATGTTATGATTAATTAAATTGTCCATGGGGTACGCAGCACTGAGCCATGAAAATACAACAATCAGAAGACAATAAATTAATAATATATTCCAGAAAACAATTTTTTTTTCCTTTTCATACCAAGTACATCCATTGTTATCATCCTTTTCTCTCTCTCTCTCTCTCTCTCTCTCTCTCTCTCTCTCTCTCTCTTTCTCTCTGTCCTCTCTCTTTATAACCGGTGTAGTTCGCTGGCGCACGCAAAAGACCCTAGTTCAATTTAAAAGTGCCGAGACATTTCTATTGAATATCACAGTTTTTCCTGCTGGAATCTACTATCACGCTCAGCCTGGGCTAGCCGTGTCAGGCAGAGTTGGAAGTCCGCCTCCTTTTCAGGATCCAAATTGTGTAGATGGGGGCTAAATGAACAATATCAACATTACAACGAACTCAAGTAAACAAACAAACAAACGGACAAACAAACAAACAAAAACTCTACGTCACAAATCTTGTCGTATACACCAACATACATGTATAACACCAAGCTCAAATATTGTCCTTGACATCGGGGATCAACTGGTTAAGCTGTTGGATTCTCAAACGAAAGGTCGTGGGTTCGAAACCCGTCACAGGTCAAACGTTGTGTCCTTGGGGAAGACATTTTACACGAATCTCCCTCTCTTCGCCACAATGGGAATGGGTATTCGACTAGATACAGTGAAATACACAGTCAGTTTGTTCGTTTTTGAGCGCATGGTTGCTTGCACTGTATGCTTCCCGGGAAACAGAGAATGTTTCTGAGTAATATAGGGTCTGTCGGGGTAAGAATATAGATTGATATGCTCATAGTGCTTGTTGTTGAGCAGGGATTAAACTTATAATTCCTATATATCATCCCCTACCCTGCCGCCCCAAGATCAGCAATACAAATAATGCTTATATATTCAGAATTTGTCGCCTATATTTGTTGCTGTTGAGATTTTTTATTTTGGTAAATATTTTACGGCGCTCGCAATTGCATAAGGTCATATGAGTGCGCCGGACATACCAAACATTTTCAGTTGATAGGACATTTGGAATTTTGCCTGGCTGGCGGCCGAAGCTTAATCTTATCGATTTTGAACCATAAAGGGATCTTTAACATGCGCAACTTGCACGCTGGACCTCCGAGATTTTACGCCCTTGTCCGAGAAGACTAGATGTAGATCTTTCCTACCAGAAGATCAGGGTTGTGGCTGAGACCACGGTAAGAAGGAGCCAAGGAGAAGAAGTAGAAAGGCCTCAGAAAGAGTCAAGATCCCAGAGGAGAGGGCAAAGGAGGTGAAGAGGTGAGGGCGGAAAGTGGAAACGAAAGCAGACGACAGACCATTGTTGTTGTTGTTGTTGTTGCTGTTGTTTTAGTATTATCATTCTATTTCTAATGTTTTACCGCGCCTCGTCATTCAAACGCCCATCATTCTTTTTGTCAGCATTTCCAAGGAAAGGAATTTAACACAGATACGAGGGAGTTAACCCAGCTATCTTTGACTTCATTGCATGCTTTAGTTTATTTCCCTTGGTTGAAAGAAAACGTGCACTTGACAACAATGTTGTAATAAGTATATACATTATCAAATCATGTATTCCTGAGCGTGAATAATTATACTACATGACAGTAATAATAATTAAAATTATTATAAAATGAAGACAATAAAAATGATAATAATGATAACATAAAAACGATAACAACAATGATGAGGATATTTATAATTATAATGATTATACATGTACTGATTAAAATTAATCTGAAAGAACATGGGCTCTGGTGGGCTTTTGGTACCGTGTTCGCATGTCATTCCTTAGGTCCCAGATTCGAACCCTGACAAAGACGAAAAATGTTCTTCACTAGAATTTTCGCCTTTCTATTTCTTTCATGTTAATACGACCTGTTCAGTCAACTGTTTCTGTCTCAATACCCCCCCCCCCCCTTCCCTCCTTCCACTCCTGAGGTCGTCTGCCCTTTATTCATGACTCTTTCTACTGTTTCACCGGTTCCTTCTAAGGTTTTTCAGTAACAAACCTGATCGTAGGGTAGGTGTTATCTAACACATAGCCGACTTGGAATAGGGCAAAGAAAAAGAAGGAGAAGGAGAATATGAGGGAGAAGAAGGAGAAGGGAGAGATGGTTTGCAAGTAGACCTTCACCAAGTTGGTCATTAAACTTTTAGACGCGTATGCAGGGTTCTGAATAAATTTAAGATTGCGCTTTGTTTCTTATCTTGTTTTAACCGTGGTCAGATGAAAGTGAATAAGGTATACTTCTTCCACTTCTAAATAACACTACAAATTCTTTCTGGCTTATTTTCACCAAGTAGCAAGTTCTACGGCCTTTACACCCAAGCAGACCTTAGAACACTCAGAAACATCCCAGGCTTTCAATGAAGCATACAGTGCAAGCAGCCGTTAAAGCACTGAAGCACTAACATGCTTACACGATTTTCTGCGGTCCATAGCTGGGTATCAGTCAATGGAAGTGAGGAAAATTGGTGGAAAGTGCCTTTCTCAAGGGCACAGCGTTTGCCCCCTGATGGGCTTGTTTTGAAGTTATGACCTCTTGGTAGTTGCTTGATTAATTATGATGTTTTTAAAAATTACACTTTAGCACCCCACAGAGATGTGAATTATACCTTTACCAGCTCAAAGTAACAATGAACCTTGCCCGGATGCATTGTCTTGCCACGGTGTGGTATGTTGTATTCCTCGGGTCAGTGGTCGGGTAATAACTGTAGTAGCCTGGTGGTATTCCCTCTGCGACTCTTATTCTCAGTTTCGCTAACATGTGGCGAATGTAACATTCACTCGCGACTCACCAGTCTTTGGTCCCATAAATGCTATTACCATCTCAGGAAATCTATGTCTGGTGGCATTAGAGGTTCTGGCTTTTTAATGCACGAAACCTTATCTTTTAGTACCAAACTACAACAGCAACGACAACAACGACAACAACAGCTACAACAACAGAGACGACAACGACAACAACAACAACAACGATAACGACAACGACAACAACGACAACAACAGCTACAACAACAGAGACGACAACGACAACAACAACAACAACGATAACGACAACGACAACAACAGGGCATGCTGGACGGTCAAATTTCTTTTCAAAGTTAAACAAACGTTTCCATAAATGACAGGTGGTATACTGACAATGTCTTTTTGGCGTACACAATATTATATCTACCTACCCCCCCCCCCCCCGGTCCCTTCCTTCTTGTGTGTTTTCTGTTTCATAGCGACACCGTCCAAGACGCCCACCAGTCTAAGACGACAACTGTTCTCTTCGACAGTGGGTGGCTGCCTCTGACTATTTGGACTGTATCTGACATTACATTGGCTTTTGTTTATTTGTTTGTTTGGGGTTGTTTGGTTTTTTTGGGGGGGTCTTTTCGATAAGGTCAATAATTTTGCCAAGTGGTGGATATTGTTCATAAATTTCAAGATTTAAAAAAATAATTGTCTTAATGCGTACGACTTATAATTTTGAAAAGACTTTAGGTCGTGTCTTTTATAAAGCAGATGATGATTTTAAGAATATCGTTTGTTTTAATTAAATATCTCCTTGTTTTATGTGTATGTGATATGAACCTCTCCATATTACAGTGGACTAATACTTTATCTATCATTATTCTGAGTACATCTAAAAAGGTTATCAATTTCATGTGCTTTTTTTGACTAATACCACAATGAGTTTATAAAAGAAAGAAAAAGTAAGGACAGAAATGATCACTTGCACATTTGTTGGCGCATCACAACAGCGTCCCATGGCGTGAAATAAGTCAATATAGCGTATTGACTGCTATGAAACTCTGTTCGACTCTGCACTACATTTGTCTACATTGCGTCTGTAAAAGGTCTATGGGCTCTGGTACTGAATGCAAAAAGTCTGTCTGCACTAATTAATATTATGTCCACACTGGTACTGTCTGCTCTAATTAATATGTCCGTACTGGTACTGTCTGCACTAATTAATGTGTCCGCACTGGTACTGTCTGCACTAATTAATATGTCCGCACTGGTACTGTCTGCACTAATTAAATGTCCACACTGGTACTGTCTGCACTAATTAATATGTCCACACTGGGACTGTCTGCACTAATTAATATGTCGACACTGGTACTGTCTGCTCTAATTGATATTGTGTCCACACTGGTACTGTCTGCACTAATTAATATTGTGTCCACACTGGTACTGTCTGCACTAATTAATATTGTGTCCACACTGGTACTGTCTGCACTCTGCACTAATTGCTTTTGTGTCCGCACTGGTACTGTCTGCACTAATTGATATTTCCGTGCTGGTACTGTCTGTTCATGATCTGTTCTGCGCTATACCTGTCCACACTTGCATATCTGCACTAAGCCAGTCTGCACTTGCATTTAGTACACCTGTACTGTGTCTG